TAGAATAGGATGTATATAGTTAGTGCACTGAAACATTCTCATCCTAACTGATACAATTATATATATATTTCTGATTCCTTCCTGCTTATATACTACTCTTTCTGTACGTGTATTTCTTTTATTTTACTTTCTTACATCTATTTAAGTGATATTTCTGATAACTATAATCAGAGGAAAAAAACGCCAGTAGCAGGCTGACCATCGGATGAAGCAGCAATGGTCAAAGCAATCTGAAAAGTTACCAACTGCATAGCTGAAATAAAATGAAAATTCTTCAATATCCTTGGTGTCCTAAAACTGCGGGAACAATGATGTACGAATGCGAAACGTCGCCACTAACGAAACCTGAGAAGCAAATGCTGGCTAAGATGGAAAACGCGCATAGGATTTTTAGCTATATGAACAAACTATGCCAGATCCTTCGATCCTGGACTGCATAACTTCAACTAGTACTCGTTACCTTGTCCAGTGTTTGTAAGCTAATCTCCAAGAACTGCCTAAATGACTGTTCCTGTGAGTACCACCTACTAATGCTCGAGGTCCATCGGTTGTCAGCAAGTACAAGACCTGCCCACGAAACTTTTTTAACTCGAAAACTTTAAACAAAAAAACACAAATTTTATGCAAAAAATGAACTTACGGAAAACGGCTATGCCGAAATCAGTGTCCTTCTTCTTCTGGTTGAACGGGCGCCGTATGCTACAATAGGATCAGCTGGTAGTGGCAGCAGCAGCACTTTTTCCAATCTCTGACTCGTCAGGAGTTATCAGATATGCGTACGGTCAAAGTTCTCCTCTGTTCATCGTTGAACTTTCCGAACCATTTTTAAGCAAAACTGAAAAAAAAAAACTTCCATAAATTAGGTCGCAGTACTAAGTCTAATTCAAACGCGCAATCTGCTCCGTAGTTAGATACAGGCCTAAAAATCACTAGGCCATTTACCAAGAATACCAAGATCATACGTGCAGTCGGCATGAGTATCTCATGTTAGCTCACACACTTTAGGTGTTTAACTATGCCAGATCTTTTGATTCTAGACGCGTACCACCGATGGGTAGCCCAACTTCGTTCGATATATGTGCGCTGCCAAAAGATCAAATAAATTATACAAAGCACATGAATGGTTGTTTTTGTTTTACTAACATGTTATCTTATTAATTTGTCTTAAAAATTAATGGACCACGCGTTTAATCATCAAAAATATGGCGCAGATACATGAAGCGCATGTTAACTGTAGGTATGGAGTTTTAAGGACAAACGCATAATTCTCCACAACTAATTGTATCAAGGTAAATTTAATGATAACAGATTCCGACAGTAACTGTCTTCGCAGTTTTGGAAATCCTGACAAATTTTTTGCCATTTCATCGCATTTCTATCATAGTCTGGTTGCTCACACTTGTAAAAAATCATAACTTTGATATTATTATTAGTCCCATTACAACTGTCATTATTACTGTTGTTATTATTATTACTATTATTACCCTTATCATTGTCATTATTGTTAGAGACAAATCGTTGCTTTCGCCTGCTGCTATTTTTGATTGCTAAGCCATTATAAAGTAGATTAAGCAATACGCCAAACGGATATCCAGAGGCAAAATTATGCTTTTATTTAGACATTTGTGTGGAATACAAAATGCAAAAATAGTTTGAAATATCATCATAATTCAAGAAAACTAACAGAAATATCCGATTATGAAGGATGCAGATTGAAATGTTCTCAAAATTCAGAAGTGTTAGTTGGAATATTCCAACCATGGTGCAGATGGAAAAATCACGGCAGAAAATTGCGGGCAGAAAAATCACGATTCAGGGATACTAAAAAGAATACCATGATTCAGATGCGCGAAACGTAGATGGAAGTATCGTCAAAGTTTAAGAAGCCAAAAGAATTATCATGATTTATGCAAGAGCAGCAAGGTGAATATCAGGACCGCAAAAAGAGGAAGTGAAGGTTGGTGAGGGAGGACATGGATGCATGGAAATTGCCAATTCGTGAGGAGTTGTATTGGTGAGTGTTTATTGGAATTCGCGAAAAGATGATGTTATGGATAAATTTATTGAACAATTACCAAATTACATTTCGTCGTATTAGGGTGACTGCTCACGTTAAAAATCTAGTGACCAGTCCGATTTCTCCTAAATCATTTAAGGCAACAAAACGAGCCTCAACTTCGCCAGAAAACTGGCCACAGCATTAGTCAAAGACAGTGAAAAAGTTTGCAGACCTGATCAAAGTATCAGGTAATATTCAAGTGCAATTGAACGACAGGAGGGCGCGGGAGAAGGGGGCCGGGACGGAGGAGAGGGGTCCAGGAAAAACAAAGTAAATGTTCCAACTAAGCTGATCATAAAAAATGCTCCTTTTGCAGGCAGAAGTAAAGAAAGCGGCGAAAATTGCTGCTATTTTATGCTTTAGTAGTCAGCAGAGATGCAAATTTAACAGTGATGTATGTTTCAAAAAAAGGAATCACCTCCCAAATTTAACATTCTTGTTTTGAACATCTTCCTCCTCCCCTTTTCTTGCCCCTCCTTTCTCCCTCTCTTCTGTTTCCCCTCCTTCCGCTCCACTTTTCCTCGTTTTCCAAGTGATTTTGGCCAAACCCTTGACTTTGTAATATCAACTACACAAAAAAATAGCAAGAGCTAAGGGATGAAACACAGACTGCATCGTAAAATGTCTTGTACATGACACCTAAGTCGAATTCTTTCTACTCTACTATATAAGAAAAGGAAGGGCTTAGATTTGAGCTCAGCATAGAACTCTTCCACCTGATCGCCATTATTAGCCGCAGCGAGAGCCAGCCTGAGAGGAAGTATACCAATTCAGAACTGACAAGAGATGATTTGCGGAGGCTAACCAAGTTAACTATTAGATTTAATCAGCATTATAAACACTGTTCAAATATTTGACTTCACGCTTTTTTGTTTAAACAATGTTTGTTAAAAAAGCTTAGCTTTTACATCACTTTGCTTGAATGCGAGTCCAACTTTTTAAATTTTCTTCCTCGTACGTGGATCAATTTGCCGCCTTCGAAGCGCACAATGAAACGGCGTCTCTTGGGTGCGTCAGTGCTGGCTAAGCAGTTAAAGTTCACTACTAATCAGTTCATCCTGAATCCCTGCCAGCTAATAAAATTAGGCTTTTTCTACGTCACTCCTCCCTTACTTATCCCTGTCCTTCGCGCTCATTACCCTCGACTTTCTCCTTTCCCTCATACTCCTTTCTCTACCAGTGCTAAGAAAGCACCAAAATAAGACTAAGATTTGCTAGCAGTTTGGCGTTTTATTATAGTACACAATATGTTTCAAACAATTCTAACGAGAAAAGCTAAGGGGGGAAAAATCCAGGAAAGGGATGAAATTGGCGCTGATGGGCAGTAGCAGGAGCAGCAGCTTTGGCACAGAATTGCCTCATTTGAACCGGCTTCGAATTCTGTCCTTAGGCTAGTTTTCGGGCCCGACAACGCCAGCAGCAACAGCACTGGTCATAAGCCCAAAGCTTAGAGCCTCGTCTAAGAACACAAAATATTGAACTTGTTGCATCGCTTTGCTTCGCGTCGTTTCCTTTTCAAGGAGGGGAAATGTCTTCAGCTGCCTATCCTCAACCCTCCTCTCCTCCCCCTCTCCCGTCCCCTAGCTCCTCCCAACCCTGTTCTTCCGGGCCCCCACCACCGATGTTAATTTGCTTACTTTACAATCCCATAAACAAATGTTTCATTGTCCAAGTCAGTTGCATAGCCAGACTCATTCGAAAACTTCAGTCCAATGCTCTGCTGGTTCGTCCATGATTTTCGATAGCCACAAATCCCAAGACCGCTCGGACAGTCGATGTGGGCATCCCATACTTGGGAGAAGCTTACTCCCACTTAATGTCTTTTTACAAAAAATATTGTACCGCACTTTCATGAAGGTATACAAGTAGATCGCTTTTAACAAGAAAGTTTCGGGAGAATACTAAATCCCACATTGGCAAGAAATCCAGCGAAAAGCAAGGGGAGAGGAGAGGGAGATGGGAAAGAAGAATAGAAAGCTGGAAGCAGTCAACGGGATGTTAAACTCTAATCTGATAAAACGATTCGAAAACGATAGCATTCCACTAAAAAAAACCATGGGAAACTGTGAATAATTTTTCTCAGCGAAAGTTGAATTTTCTTGTCTGTTTCCTGTACCCTTGCCCTCTCCCCCTCCCCTGCCTTCCCTCCTCTTCCTCCTTAGCTCCTCCATGGTCTTTGGAAACAACGGCCCTATTCAAGGTGATTGGGAATTCAGCAGAGGGAAACTTTATCTCTCGGCAACATATCTTTCTGCTGCTATAACTTCGCTTATCGTTAGCAGCTGCCATTCAAAGCATTCATCAGAATTAACTTGAAAAAATATTATAAGTTGAATTAAATAAATGGAATAAATGGTAACGCGCACCAGACTAGCCGGTGCGATCATGCGTTTTGTGCAATTCAGCCCATCA